CCTCTCCCACTCCCCCTGCTAGTGTTCCCTCTCTTGCTGTGTCTCTCTCTGTCAAATAAATAAATAAAATCTTTAAAAAAAAAAAAAGTCCATATTCTTTCCAGTGTCAGGACGCGCCCGCCTTCCCATTACCCTCAGCATGGGGAGGGGAGGGGTGAGCTGCTTGAGCTGACATTTCTGAAAGGCTCCCTGTCCGGCGTGGAGCTGCTGGTTAATAGTAACAATAGTATACCATTTCCTGAGGGCTTACTCTGCACAGACACTGGTCAAAGTGGTTTTCGTGGAGTAACTCATTTAATCCTCCCGATAAGCCCTGAGGCAGGTGCTCTTATCAACTACCGTTTAAGAGTTGAGGGAACCAAGGCACAGCTGGGATTTCAACGCCCCTTGTCAGGTGGAAGGAGTCTGCCTGTGGCCCAGCCAAGTTCACCTGGGACTGCTCTGGAGCTGGAGGCTCAAACTCACCGCAATAAAGAAAAGGCACTTAACCCTGAGCCTCAGTTTCCTCATCTGTAAAATGGGAAGAATAGCACAGGATGGTAGAGGGCGTTATTATTTTTTTTAATATTTTATTTATTTATTTTGAGAGAGAGCATGAGCGGGGGGTGGGGGGCAGAGGGAGAAGGAGAAGCAGACTCCTTGCTGAGTGGAGAGCCGGATGTGGGGCTTGATCCCAGGCTGGCAGGATCATGACCTGAGCTGAAGCCAGATGCTTGACTGAGCCACCCAGGCGCCCCTGCAGAGGGGATTAAATAATAAAGTGTCTGGCACCTAGTAAGGGCTCAATCCATGGCCCACCCCCCAACTCAGGAGGCTGCCTTGGAGACCTGATGGGAAGGTGCAAATGAAGACCTCAGACAACTGGAGAGGTGGTGGGGGCAGGGACCTTTCTGGGCTCTGTGTCTACATCTGCGACGAGGGATTCTGCTCTTTCAAATCAAGTCTGTTGGGTGAACGTGAAGACCACTTCTGCTTCACTCTCATGCGCCTGTTCACCTAGGTCCCCGTTTGCCAATTCAGACTTTGCACAGGTCTGACTTCCAGAATGTGCGGTGTGTTCCCGCTGGAGAGTATGGGCACAGGGCAGAGTGTGCGGGCACCAGCCAGAAGGGAAGGGGCTCTTCTAGTCCTGTGGCCAACTCAGCTTCCACTGGAAGCTTCTGGATCCACTGAGGTCTGTCCAGAGGGAAAACAGAGACAGGAGAGGAAGGGACTCTCACTCACTGAGTAAGATGGGTGCAGCTTCCTGATACCTACTAGAAATGGAGGCACCAAGAGGAGAGAGAGTCTCAAGGGCATGCAGTTGATGCCAGGAGAGCCAACTTTGAATGCATCCCTGCCACTCATCAGCTGACTGAACCTGAACAAGGCACTTTCCCCTCCCTCGGGAGTCTGTCCGTTGGGGGAGGGAGGGGTTGGTAACACCTGCTACCTCCCAGGGAAGCAGGGAGGACTCCAGGGGATGAGGCTTGCAAACAGCACTGGGAGCTGGGGGCCTGAGGACCAGAACCTTTTCTCTCCACTGAGCTTTTCCACCTCCCTCTACATGAAGATCAAAGCCAGTTCATAAGGTGTCAGCCGGGCCCTTCCCTTTTGCCTCCTGTCCTCACCAGCTCAGAAGGTCCCTCGACCAGTGCCAGACACCCCCACCTCCTGCATCCTCTGGGACCTCAATCTAGGGACCTGCCTCTCCTCTGGGACTCAGCCACTCTGTCTTCTGGCTCCTTCCTGTCAGCTCATAAATGCAGCCAAGTCTCCTTTATGGAAAAGCACCCACACAGATAAAGTAAAGTAAAAAGAACAAATGTGCTCTTTCAAAACACACACCAGCAGCAGCCAAAATAAAAGCCAAATGTTAATCTGGGAGGAGGTCTTTGCCACCAAGAGACCAGACAAGAGGCAAATACCTTGCTGATGAGCTCAAACAAATGAATCAGAAACTCACATTTTGTGGTCACTTCCCAAGGCACGTATATTTGCCAAATCACTCTGTACACCTTCATCTTACACGGTGCTGCGTGTCAGTCACAGCTCAATAAAACCGGGGGTGGGGTGGGGGGTGGGAATCACACAAAGATCCTAGACGTTCATGTTCTTTGATTCAGCAATTTCATTTCTAGGAAATAACAAGAAATGCACACTCGCAGCCTGAGGAAGTACGAAACAGTACAGTCCCTCTGGAGAGCCAGCTGCCTCTAGGTAGAGCCCTTCTAGAGGTTCAAATGCAGTGACGACCAGGTGATGCTCTTTCCAGGAAAAATCGGGCAATGTGTACGTGCAAAAGTTCAACGTAACGTTATCCCAAAGAGCCTAAATTTCCAATGTGTTCCCTTTCAGGTAAACACTGAAAAATATTTTAAAAAGGTTTGAGAGAGGTGAGGAGTTTGAAAAATTTCTATAGACAAGATATATTCAAATATGTTAAAAAGTGTTTTTTAAAAAGTTCGGCAAAAATGGCGAAATTTAACCGTAGGATTCTCCAAGTGGTGCAAATATGTCATCTCCCCCCTACCTCCTACAGTTAATTCATTCCAAGCAACATTTAGGGAGCACTGACTATGTGCTGGGCTGGGCACTGAGGTTTCAGGTAAGGTTCCTTTCCTCTAGAAGTTTCCAGTCTGGACAGGAGTGGCACAATGAAAACACAGGGCATTTAGCAGGAATTGTGAGCTCACCTAGGAGGTCCGACGGTTGGGAGGAAGTGCATTCCAGAGGCACATCGGGCACAGAGCTTGGGTGAGCAGGTGGCTGGTAGAGCCCTACAGCCCACCTGCCTGGATGGAGGGCCAGGAGGGGCAGCGGCCGCTGGGGAGGAAGGCGGTGGGGGAGGAAAGAGCTGTTTCCACATTTCAAGCTTCCCTTTCTCATCTGTCCCTACTTCCAGTCCTGTCGCCAATGTCCCAGGCAGCCACCTCCTCTTACTCTGCCCCCTGTCCCAGTTTGGACCTTTAACCTAGGCAGCTAGAAGGGCTTCCGTCGGAATAAGGAAAGGAGACAATTTTCAGAATTTCTATTTGGGAGTTTGTCCTCTTATGGCAAGCTGTCAGAGGATTCCATCTCGCCTCTCCCTTTCTTTTGTATTTGGGCCCACCTGGGGGAGTCCCCCCTAGGGGATCTCCGAGAGGGAACACGGAGCGCAGACCTAGGCGTGGAGGGTAGAGTCCTGGCCAACCTGAGCCCTGCTTCTGCCGGCCCCAAGGGGCCTGCGAGGAGCAGGCAATCACTCAGCATCTCCGGGAGACAGGAGACGCAAAGGGTGTCCTCCTGAGGGAGGGGTGGATGCAGGGGAGACGCTTTTTAACCCTCTCAGAGCCAGAGGCTCAGCTGAGTCTGCCCAGGAAGTGGGAACGTCTATTCCAGGGTGTCAGATGAGGAAACTGAGGCAAGCGTCCCCGCCCCCCAGCAGCGAAGGGCAGTGGACTCAGAGACCCCTGCCAGAGCCGCTCCCAAGCACATCACAACTCCCACTCAGGGGTTCCCATCTGGCTAGCAGGGAGGGAGCGAAGCGAGCCGGAAGGACGGGTCGTCGGCGGGTCGGGATCCCTGAGAAGGGGAAGGGGCGCTCCGACCCAGGCCCTTCCCTCCACCTGCAGGGCCCTCCCCCCGCCTCGGCACTTCCGAAGCCAAGGCACCCCCCGCCCCCCTCGGCCCGGGCCGACGCCTCCCGCCCCCGGCAGTCTCCCCTCCAGCAGGCCGCTCCCCGGCGCTGTCCCAGCCGCACCCCCTCCGGGGCCAGGAGCGAGCGCGGCGG